ACTACTTACTACCTACTACTACCTACTACTACCTACCACTACTACTACTACTACTACTACGACGACCAGCACTGCCACCAGCCACCCCCTCTACCAACTACGCTTGCCAAATTCGGAGGGCAGTGGCAGCTTCTCGTCTCCCTAGCTTTAGAGGCAGAACTTGAGGAGCTGCAATTGCAAACTCGACAGAGAAGAACGTGCTAAACCCAAGGCGGTATGAGAATGCTGTAACCGTAAATAGCATGAAGCCGAAAATCCTTCACAACATCTCAAAACCAAAATGCCGGCTCTCCGTGAGGGGGGAGCACTCACCAACACCTCTACTGCCCAGACCTCGGGGGCAACAGATTGCTTTTGAAGCGGTGTGCGCACAGGAGTCTCGCTATCATCCCGCCCACCCTCCGTCGCTACACTGAATCATACCGAGCGACCTTTTCGAACTTGGAAACTCGAAAAACAAGTTGCCTACTGAAAGATGGCAGGATAATGTGAAAAACCCGTGAACATCGTGTGAAACGTAGCTGCTGCTAGCGGGGTGCCTCCTACTACTTACTAGCAATACTACACTACTACGACGACTACGACGACTACTACTGCCGCTACTGCTACTGCTGCAGTAGTACTTGTACTACATTATTGGCTGCTTGCCCACTGTTGCTGTGTCTGCTGCTTTGCTGCGTATGAACCTGCTAATACTAAGTTGTCGAAGCCCCCGAAGCCCCACAACCTCAAGCGTACCTCCAAAGGCACGGGCCCCAAAATTCCGAAACCGCCAGACTCCATCTCCTAAACCTACGATAGAAGCCCTTGACACATTAAAGCTCTAAACCCAGCGGCCAAGCCGAGTGCCGTTCGCGGCGACGAGCTGTGCTAAGCAGACCTCGTAGGCCGATGGAAAGGCTTCGGGGTGTTCGGGCTGAGGGATTTTGCGTTTGTGTGAGGGTTGTTGCTTATAAAGGTTTTGGAAAAAGGTTGTGCAAGATGCAAGCTCAAGCTACAAATCGATGCTAGAGCTTGAAACCCAGATTGCTTTCGTCTCAGGTATTGATGCGTATTTCTTCTGTATGTACGCATGTATGTATGTATGGATGGATGGATGGATGCATGCATGGATGGATGGGTGGATGTAGGTGTCTATGTATGTATGTATGTATGTATGTATGCATGAATGTATGTATGTACACTCACACACAAATGTGTGTGTATGCATATCCACATGTGCTAGACCATTCTAGTCTAGTGATGCTTTGTTGTGTTGATTTGCGCTACATTCTGTTGTGCCATGCTGCATGAAGTTGTCGGAGTCCACTTGATAGCATGAGACAGTATGTCGTATTATGTTTCTGCATATCATGTCTTGCACTGTATATGTATATCACATATTACGATTGTGTGTATATATGCGTGGATACGTCTGTGTACACACATACATATAAACGCAAAAAGCATAAATATCCATATTATATATATATGTATATAGGGAGAGAGAGAGAGAGAGAGAGAGAGGAGGGAGATAGATAGATAGCCAGACAGACAGATAGACAGATTAGTTGCGTATGTTAAGTTACATTCTATAGTACATTCTACTGCATTAGATGACATTTTAGATGATAGAAAGACCAAGAATACATGATGCTGCCTGGTACTATCTGACAATACAAGGTAGTATCAGATTGCATGCTATGGTATGCTGCGTCAGGTTATCTAATGTTGTCTTACACATTTATGCAAAAAATATACCCCATGATCATGCAAGCATTCAGGCCCCGTTGGCCCTCAAGTCGTAGCAGCTGCGCCAAGGCGCCACACTGCGCTCCCGCCGCCCGGCACCACAGCAGCCCAAGCAGCCGCTCCAGGGGCCCAGGGACCAAATGAAGAGATCCTTCTTACGGGGGGTGGCCGAGTGTAGCTCCTGACGCTCTCACATGTTGGTATGGATGCTGGGGACCTCCTTTTCAGAGTTTCACAGCGTACAAACATCGAGGAGTGTGTCAGGTGCGCAAGCTCAAACTCAGGGATCATGTTTACTAACGCCCTACAAACTGAGCTGCCCTATCGCTCACCCGCGAATCCAATTGGACCAGCCTTCGATTCAACCCGAAACGCTGAAGCCCAGTGCTCCCTTGTAAAGGGGCCCTATAAGGGCAACGAAAAAAGCTCAGGCCTTCGGGCAGCGCTCCAGGTCGCAGCGCTCGAGGCCGATCGGCGCCTCACCGGCACAGACCTCGCTGGAATGCCTGAGCTCCATGAGCTTTGGCAGGTGCCTTACGAGTATTATATGCACGGCCTTCGTACACTCTTGTGGAAGGCAAAAGCTGCCATTGTGAGCTTTACAACACATCTTGGCACCGGGGGGGAGTAAGGGTCTCGAATGCTTTCGATGGTCTTGCTGCTGCCGCCTAAGCCGCAGCTGCTGTTTCTTGCTGCCGCACTCCTACTTCTACTACTCCTGCCTACCCGTATCAATGCCCCTGTTCCTAACTCGCACTCCTCCTGCTCCTCCTGCTACAGCTGCTGCTGCCGCTACTGTCCAGCTCTTGCTACTTCTGTACATGCGGTTCTTGCTCTCACAGAAGATGTTCTTGTCAGTGCAAGTTCAACCACATGCACCTTCCAAAAACCCTCAAGCAAAAGCAAGACGATTATGGCGAAGTTCGGCTGACATGATCGACAGAAAATCTAGCGGCTCTAGCGGTTTGCCTGGCGAATATCAAGTACTGCTGTGGATTATGTTGGGTGTCTTGGGTTCCTACAAGCGCCTCCCGGTTCAGGTTTGTGGCTGTCGGTGCCGAAACGACCCTGAATTCAATCTCCCTTTCTCGGCTGCAAAACAACGTCTTTAGGGTTGACTGAGCTTATGCTCAAGTCTGCCCGGTACAGGGTCTCATGAACCTGAGGGTGCAAGCGCAAGCCCTCTACGACACGAGCTCCTGCCAGTGTGCGAGCCCCAACAAGCACCCGAGCCGTACCTGAGACCCGGTCAAAGGTTTAGGACAAACTTGATCGGGGGAGTGGAGTTGCGTCTATGAGGCAGAATGACCGTCGCCGCGGGTCTCAGGTTCCAAACAACTGCACAGACCTAAAAGCACTTTCGATGGACGATGGTTGGGCCAGACTCGTCATACTCTCCCTTCGAGATCCACATCTGCTGGAAAGTGCTCAGGGAGGACAAGATGGAGCCACCAATCCAGACACTGTACTTCCGCTCAGGCGGGGCCACGACTTTGATTTTCATTGTGGAGGGTGCCAGTGCTGTCAACTCCTTGGTCATGCGCTCACCAATGCCCTGGAACATAGTGGTCCCTCCTGACAAAACAACGTTGGAGTAGAGATCCTTGCGAATGTCCACATCGCACTTCATGATGGACTGGAAGGTGGTGTCATGGATGCCACTGGCCTCTTCACCATTGCTCTGGCCATTCATTGTGCAAAAAAGCACCCGTTTGTATGCTAGTAGCTTATTGCACTTCAAATCTTAAAAGCGTCCTAATGACCCCTTATAAATGCCGCTGGCCTCTTTGCCCACAAAGCTCGGCTGGAAGAGAACCTCTGGGCAGCGGAACCGCTCGGCTCCCACGGTGATGATGTTGCCATCAGGCAGCTCGTAGGTCTTCTCTTTGTCGCTGCTTTCGCTGGAGGCTTTCATCTCGCTGTCGAAATCCAAGGCGATGTAGCACAGCTTCTCCTTCCGGGAAATCATGTCTTCAAGCACTGAAGTCTTTGAAGTCTGCGGGGTGGCATCCAAACGAACGGGGGATGCCTTTGCATAGACAGTTACTTGCATGTGTGTCTGTAGTTGCCTCAGCCAAAACACCAGGCTCGATGGCCTAACGACGCCGATTCCAAAAAAAAACAAGCCTGAAAAGCCCACTTCTATAGACCCCGGAAGCCCTGAACCCCCAAACAGCACAAATACCAGCGCTTTGCACCATTTTTTGGCCGAGCTGGGTTCGACCTGAAACTGAAACCCTCGCACTCTACCAAGCTCCAAAGCTTTAAAGGGTTCGGTGCTGCAGGATTCTGTCGGCAAGCTTCGGGCTTGAGTTTGTAGTACGGGTTTGAGGGTTTGCCGTACAGGGACCTCAAGGCTTTTGGGCTTTCAAAAGGGTTTAGGGTTAAGGGAGGCTCTCCGGGCGTCAGGCTTCAGGGTTGCCATTCAGCTACACTGAGGTTGGTCCTAGTAACGGGCAAAGGCTCCTTGACGTCACGCACAATCTCGCGCTCTGCCGTGGTGGTGAAGGAGTAGCCACGCTCCGTAAGGATCCTGAGAGTCCGCTTCTTAGAGAACACAACAACCTCGCAAATAAGAAGCAGCGGTCCTTGAAGTAGATTACTGTGCTCTTCTGAGTTTGATTGAACTGATGCTTCGCAAAGGGATACTGCAATGTGAAAAAACATCGCACCATTCGCCACGCTGTGGCTCGGTTGTCGAAGCCGACATGCCTTGCAAACCCATGAGGTCACCTTGTTCATCTTACAAACGAGTTCATCAAAAGTCTCGAGTAAGGAAGCAGGTGTTTTGTGGCCTTCACGTCGCCCCCCCCCCCGCCACAGTTTAGCTTCAATCGGGTCTTGATCTAGAAATCTGTCTGTCCGTCTGTCTATCCATCGATCTATCTATCTATCGATCTTGTTATGATTCTTGAGTTTGAAGTTCGAATTATGAATTGAAACACATGTACAATATTATATATGTACTTTTTTACTTGCTCATCTTTATAACTGTGTATGTATGTGTACTTATATACATATATATATATACATATAGATAGATAGATAGATAGATAGATAGAGAGAGAGAGAGAGAGAGCGAGCGAGCGAGCGAGCGAGCGAGCGAGCGAGGTGCCGCCCAGCAGGACTTCGTGATGTAATTCCGGCCATAGCCTAAACCTCAAAGCCAGCCAGGGTAGCCTGCTTAGGATTGCCATTACACGGCTCTTCTCATATCGCCTAAACCCAAAATCCTTAAACGCCGAAAACTCATAACCCCTAATCCCAGGGTGCTGCATCGTAGCTCAACCCCCTAAACAGCAGCCTTAAACCCTAGGGCTTGCAATGCCAGGGCTCTTCATCATGTATTCCGTGAGGTCGCGGCCGGCCAGATCCAAGCGTAGGATTGCATGGGGCAGCGCGTAGCCCTCCACAGTCAGCGAGTGTTGAGTGCGGCTTCTTTACTCAGCGGCTGATGACGGTTGAGCTCGGGCTACAGCGCCTAAGCTTCGGGGTTGATCACCTGGTGGTAAACAGAACCTGTCACACCCAGTGAGTCACACTTGCCTCGTAGATTGGCACAGTGTGGGAGACGCCATCGCCACTGTCCTGGCATACTTTCAGGATCTTTCCAGAAATGACCCCAGTGCCCTAAGACGCGAAATCTCCAAGTACCAGCGAAGCTTCGACCTCGCCTCGAAAACAAGAGGATTGCATCCTGCTTGAAGATCTGCATATCCGAACGAAAGATAGATTCAGATAGATTTGGATGGGAAAGTAGGCTCACAGCCACATACGCTTCATCAACCGGTATCTTACTTGAACCTGCAACTAACTCTCTGTCTTGCGATCACGCCCATGCGGTCGTGTGGAATACAAATACTTACGAACATCATGGTCGCATGCCTTGTCGTTACCATTCTCATCACCATGGCCATCATTATGAGTCACAGTCCTCATCCTCATCTCCTCCGCATCATCATCGTCACCAACTGCTGCAGTAGCAGTGGCAGCACCTTCCCCATCAGCTCAAGCATAGGGATCGTCTTTAGCCGTCTTCGTCAATGCCGCTGCCATTAACGACAGCATCGTCGTCAGCACCACCTTCGCATCGTTGAATCAGCACCATCACCATCATCATCCTCGTCATCTGGTCATCATCGCCCGTCTGCAGCACCAGCCAAACCCATCTCGATAATCATCTTCACACATCAACAATTCAGCGTTAGAAGGGCTTTGAAATCACACGGTTAACGTGATGTAATTAAGCTATGATGTTGATTGCATAAGGGGTACCGGGCTCTTTGGGAAGCTGTAGCAGTATCCCTGAGGCAGGCGGTCCATGACGATCCCGGTGGTGCGGCCAGAGGCGTAAAGTGACAGGACAGCCTGGATGGCCACGTACATCGCAGGCACCTGTGCGGTTTAGGGCCTAGGGTATGTTAGATTGGGGTTTAAGGCGGGTTTCTTGTGTTAGGGGTTTAGGGTTCAGGGGGATCTTACGGTGTCGGAAGGGGAATTTAGGCTAGGGATCAGGGATCCAGAACTTTCGTCCGTTCATGGCAAGGCCAAGGTTCCCAACACCGTCAACCCTGAGAACGTTGTTTTATATCTGGGCCTACAGGCCTTGTGCCCCCCTTTTCGGGGTCCCATTAAGATTATAGCTCGCTCTGAAGCTCTACTCATCTGCTTGACTCAAAGTCCAGCGGCATTGAAGGTCTCGAACATGATCTGCGTCATGCGTTCTCGGTTCGCCTTGGAAGAACAGGCTTATATCATGGCCAAGAAGGACTCTCGCGATGACACGTCGGCGGTGAACCCCCCGCACTCTCTAAGAGCTAACTTTCCGACAGATGCTTCTGGGATCCGGAAAGACGAGACAGCACCATGGTGACAATTTGCATATGCAGAACTCTGGGAAGCTCCGCGCCCAAGACAGCCGGAAAAACAACATGGGCAGGGCAGTGCGTTCCCGATCCTCATGGTGCCGCCCATGACCAGCATGACAATTCCTCGAGTAAGAGGCTACTAAACGTCCTCCTCCCCAAGCCACAACACGCAGCCAGGTCGCCTTTGGATTCAGCGGTGCTTCAGTCAGGAGCACCGGATGCTCCTGCACAAGTACGAGATTGCTGCATGAATGAACCACCTCCTTCAGTCATTCTTGATACTGATTCCAACCGCTGCGCGAAGAGACCATGCAGTGAGCCATGCGAGTTTAGAAGACTTGTCTGACAAGAGAGCGCAGGGTTTGAGCTCCCTTCGCATGGCCCAAGGATGAATCGAAATGTGAGGGCCAGAAGTAGATGCCCCAGCTTCGACGGAAAACGCAGGCGACTCCAACGCCTCCAACCCACCGAGTGCAGGAGTTTAAGCATCACCATCGATGCTACCGTACATGTGCCCATGATGGTTGTGATGAGGTTTCTGGTGCTGAGTACTGCTAACTTCCATGATGGTCATGAAGCAAGAACCCGAGCCACCAGGCACCTCGGGTGCCACGCGCAGTTCGTTGTAGAAGGTGTGGTGCCTTTGATGGCACTGGGTAGGCTCTTCTCCCGCTACATCCGGAGCCAAAGTTCCCTATCAACCCCTAAACCCTACATAGACCATAAGCCGCCAAAGCCTACTGCATCGAACCCTAAAAAGCAGCAGCTTTGATGGCCCGAAGGAAGGCTAACCTGTGTCTGAGCCGGGGAGCCAGATCTTCTCCATGTCCTTGGCCAGGGTCTAGTGGCTTAGGGCTTGGAGTTTTGGGGCTAGGGTTTCGGGGAGTTTAGGAATGAATGGGTTTAAGACTTTAGGGTTCGGAGTTTTGGGGCTTTGCGAGGTTCAGGACTGGAATTAAGAGGTTCAGGGTGTGGGGCATTTCGGGCCTAGGGTGCTCAGGAATTGGGCTTTGAAGTACGCAATGTCAAACGCTCCGCCGTGGAAATGCACATGAGGGCAGGAACTCTCAATCCGAAACGACTGTCCCTCGGACAAAGACAAAACACTACTATAGGGGCCTTACTCGATAGAATGGGGTTGTTGTGGAGGCACTAGCGAATTCATGGTTCAGAAGTTGTTTTGGGACTCTAAAGGAAGGCTGAATATTCAGACCTCCAACACTACTGCAGGCGGGTGGTCTAATGATCTACTGACAGACTCATGTGCACCCAGCAGGATCACCAAAGTCCAATGGCACCAAAGTTTCGGACTGAGGCATGGGGCTGTACGGACAAATCAGGGTTCAGAATCCGCTGCCCAGCAAAGCCCCTACGCCCTCCAACACCGCAGCAGCGTGTCGTCCCAGTTTGTGACAATGCCGTGCTCGATGGGATACTTCAAGGTCAGGACGCCTCTCTTCGACTGTGCCTCGGTGGCAGAAGCAGGGATCAAGGAAGCAGTCATACCAAACACAAGTAACACGGGCAGCAGAAGAAGATGATGAACATGAAGGAACAACATGAACATGATGATGGTGCTGGTGATGGTGATGGCGATGGCGATGACGATGATGATGATGATGATGACGGTGTTGATGACGGGATGACGGTGATAATGGTCATCATCTTCTTCATTGCTGACTGCCTATGCACTCATGATTCGGTCTATATCTGCGCGGTCACCATGGTCAACAGCACGAGACCCCTATCAGCCGGTGTTCTGCCATTACGGTAGACGTCCTTTCTTCCTTTGGGTATCAAGGGCACTCTCGAATCCAATGCTGCCTGCAGCCTGCGAGTCCTCGGCAGACCACCAGTCTCCTCGACTCTACACCTTATTAGGGTCCCCTATTTTCGGAAACCCCCAGAAGCAGCGAGCTCTTCAACTCCTCAAAAAGCCAAGCGCGGGAGACTCTGCTCGGTGGTTCTAGGAAGCAGGGACTCGTTTTGATTGATGTCCAAGCTAAGGATGCCGAAACGAACCCGGAAACCATTAAACATCCCTAAACGCCCTGAACTTTACACCCTAAAGCCCAAACATTAAAGCTGAGACCTTACTCCCCTCTACGCCTCAAATTCTGTTCTCGACCTGAAGTTACAGAACCATAACTACCCTGGATTACAGGCTTGCCCAGGCGCCTCGTCACCCACGTAGCTATCTTTCTGGTCCATGCCAACCTTTCAGGACGTTTAGGAGTTTAGGGTTTAGGGTCCGGGGGATGTAGGGTTTGGGGGGTTGGGCGTCTTGGGCTTTTGGTTTCGGGGTATCCCTTCGATTCCTCACAACAAGGTATTTCGGGTTTAGTGTAGGGCCTCAAGAAATAGGCGATGCTTTTTTGTTAAGGGCTATCACGGCATACTACTCCTAACTAAGGTTTCCAACCCCTATGCATTTCGTCGAAGATGAGGCCCCGGGCCATGATGCCCGGCATCTTTGGTCGGCCCACAATGGAAGGAAAGACAGCGCGGGGGGCGTCGTCTCCGGCGAAGCCGGCCTGAGGCACGATACAGGGGCCGTTCTAGAAGGATTACTATACGGGTAAGTACAAAGGTAGAGAGGGACCTTCAGCTGGAGATTTTCTTCGGTTCACTGTTGCAGGGATGTTGTATCGAGACCTAAACGTTGTATTAACCATACTTCTTGGAGTAATTTCCTAGTTGCTGTAGTAACCTACACACGCCAAAACGCTATTCTTAATGTTAATATTTATGGCCCTTGAGCTACATGAGCAGGCTTGGACACCTTGCACATGCCGCTGCCGTTGTCCACCACAAGTGCAGCAACCTCCTCGTCACCCATGGCTTCAAGGCGGAAGTCACAAAGAGGCGTTTCAGTGAAGAGTCTGCGCCCTTGCCTCTGAGCCAGAATAGAGTTTAGAGTGGAGGTTTTTGAAAAGGGTGTCTGGGGCTGAGGGCCTCGATCCGAACATGCAGCCGCAAGGCCTTCATGGCAACCCTACTACATGCTCCTACGCCTTGCCACTCGCCACCAACACAAAAAGTCAACCTCAAAACTTGAGCCGAACAACAAACCCCTATTGGCATGCCCCCAAAATGCCGAGCAGCCCAAGTCCACTCGGAAAGCCTCGACAAACCACCTGCAGGCATGAAGAGATTGTTCTTTTTGTGATCTGGGCTCTGATATACGATGGAACGAAGGGGCCAGCCCTGAACCTGCATTCCTGCACCCGGAATGGGGCATGGGTTTTCAGCTCTTTGCTCAAAGACAAGGCCAGGGTTTGGGGTCAGGGATCTAGGAAAAAGAGAGTCTCGGACTCTAGGACTGAAGGCCCGAATCCCTCAAATCCCACAGCCCAGCCCTATACATCCTCGAAGCCTCAAAAAGTCCCATAGAGCCCCAAACTGGAAGCTCCAACAAAAGCCCAGCCTGTCTTTCGCGATACACCTCGGCAGGGCGAGGTTATCGGACTTGGATGTTTAGGTTTAGGCTTTATAATAGGGTTTAGGAAGGAGGTTTTGGGGGTCAAAAGGGTGTAGGCGCTCACAGTACAGTAAGGAAGAGAGAGTATGGAACCTTGATCTGAGGCTTTGATTTTAAGTTTCAAGGCTTGGGTGGCATCGAGGCTTTCCGGTGAAGCTCGGGGTTGAAATTTCAGACTTCATCGGTTCAGGCTTAGAGTCTTGGGTCTGGGGCCGTTTAGGGCGCTGGAAGGTTTGGGGTGGCTTCGGGCTGACGGTGAAGGTCCTTGGGGTTTAGGGGTTTAGGTGTTTAGGATTTAAGGTCCTTGGGGTTTAGGGTCGAAGCTTTCAGAAATCGCCTCTTCACTCCCGGCTCAGGGTGTGGGACTTGGAGGGTTTTTCGCCTTCTTCCTCGGCTTTAGAGTTCGGGGGTCGGGATCTAAGAATGCAGGGGCTTGGGGCTTGGGCTTCGGCTTGAGGAGTTTTGAGTCGATGGGGATTGGGGCCTTGGGGTGCTGAATCTGTAGGGCATCTGCAACTGTAAAGTCGAGGATTGCTTGTCCAGAGTGCAACATTTAAGAGCTTCCCGTTACAGTGCTTAGGGTTTCTGCTAGTATGCCGTATACCGTATACCGTATTGTGGGGCAGTGGACTCAAGTGGGGGTTCGTTGTGAACTCTGCATGGAACGTAGGCGAACAGAATCTGTCCATCATCAGCCCCTTGAGGGGGCCACAGACCATAGTCTAGAACGGTACTGGTGCTAGTCCGTTTGAGTTGAGGATCCTGAAAAGAGTGCACACTGGTTGAGTGCACATACCCAAACAAATTCCAAACTTCCTGCTTCCGTATCAGCACTTGTCGAATGTAATCAGCCGGGCGGCATAGGATTCATAATCGTCTGCAAGTTGGCATTGTAATTAGTTACGATTAGGCTTTGAGGCATGTCCAAGTTCATTCAGCCCCACGGTCCAAGCCGAGCTGCAGGCTCTGCGCCCTTACAAGTGGCATTGCAAGGCCCGAACGGCCCGGTCTGCCAAGAGAAGCTGCCTTCGGCTGCAAAAAGTCGCGAAATCGTGCCTGGCTGGGCGGGTTGTTGGCTCCGAGGTCTGCAGGCACTAGATTCTCCCGAAAACGGGGGGGAATAGGCGCCTAGGTGGCTGTAGGGGTGTTCCGGGCTCTAGGGCTCACGCCCAAAAGCGGCTCATAGTTCGTGGACTATGGGCAGTCTTGAGGTTGGAGCCGTTTCTCAGCTGAAGACACAATGTACAGAATGTCACTTGGCAATGCTTAAGACTTAAGACATGCCATGTTGCAGTTTTCTGGTCGTGTTCTTCTCCTGCCTCTCTCCCCGTCACACTCCGTTGAGTTGCCTTTCATGCCTGGCTTCGTGGACCTACATTTGCATGGCTATGTACATGCATACGTCAATACATACAGGCAACTCATAGGTGTCAGAGGCCACAAAGACACACTTAATCCTAACTCCGACGGACCCGATCCGGCCTGATGGAGCACGGCTACTAAGCATCGCCAGACTGGCGCCCAGCGCATGCAGCAAAACCGGCGAAGAGCCGGAACCTCGTGATTTTCATTTCCGTCATGGAAAGTACAATGATTGCTGCTCAAGGTCAACAGTGTGATGGTAAAGGCCTGAATGACCTTCATCACCCTAAACTATGGCAACTGTGCTGGCGTGTTGCGCTGTTCTGCGTAAACTTTGAGTGGTCCAAACGTTTCCGTTTTTATTAGATTTACCTCTGATTATCAGGATCACATCACTGCTATCCAGATCATCTCTACGAAAAAAACCTTTGTTGTTACTCTTTACCAGCACCGGTACTGCTCTTCTTGCTGTGGACATTGCCAAACACGTTCGCATTAAACAGTACAACAACTTGAAGTCTGTTGTAATGTCATAGCCGGTCAGCTGGCGGCGAATTACTCATGTTTTCATGTCAACGTGTTTGCCTGTGTTACCATCACCGTATCATTGCTTCACGTTGATGTGTTGAAGATTCAAAACGTCGTGTTCCGGATGGAAGGGTCTGTTGTTAAACCTTTATATGCAGAGTCTCGTGGGTTTGACATGGGCTCTCGATGATCATGGCAGGAGGAGCATGCGACTCTTGTTTGTGAGCCCTTGGAACATTGAGCCATTGAGCTGGGGAATCCAAGCCAAGGCGCCTTCCAGTGCGAGGTTCTGCACGTGCCTGCCGCAGCTCTCCAAACTGCTGATGGCAAATCTGTGCAGTATTGAAAACACGTAGGGATTGGCAGAGGAGCACGAAAGTTCAAGTTGCCATATTTCCTGTAGTTAGGGTGGTTGAGACCTTCTCGAGCATGCCCAAGAAACCTTAATCCCGACGCGAAAAGGGGACCCTGCTATAAGGAGCAATAACTTCAAAGTCCACTGCCGTCATTTCTTTAAACGCACCGATATGCTCGACAACACAGCTCTCCCCAAAACCCAGTAACAAAAACAGATTATAGACACTAAACTCCTAACCTTCATTAGATACCTCGGCCCTAAGAAACAGGCCTGAGGTCTCCTGGCTCTCGCCAGCGGTAAACGGCTGCATCCGTGTGTGTGGAGGGCTGAAAAGATGCAAAGAGGAACCTTGGCCAGAAACGGTTCATGTCTTTTCTCAAGAGGAGCCCCCCGGGGGACCACATTTTTGATGGACAAGTCGTGCAAGATCCAGGAGGGTTACAAGCGACTTCTAGAAGCTTATTGGGGATCAACGGGATTTATACAATGGTTGGGGGTGTAGCGTAACGTAGGGGCGTCACCCAACTCCCTCAGCTAAACACACAAAACTAATGCACCATAATGCAGGACGTGTTTTAACATCAAGAGCAAAAGTACGAGCAAGGCTTCGAGTGAGCCAGTACAAGTAGAGGGTTCCACGGGTGCGGCTTGAGGGTACGGAGGTTTGACAGAAGGAAGGAACACGGTGAACTGGGACAGTACCATGTTCCACGCTGGTGATTGCAAGCGAAGCACAACTGAGTGAAATTTGTGATAGTACCCTGCAGTTTAAAGCTGTCACTTGTACCAGACCCGTCGCCCTAAACCCTCTTTCCGTTTCCTTAAAGCTACACTCCAATTGGAGGCTTAGTGATCCAAGATTCCGGCTGCTACGGAATGGAACACGCTTCCTGAGTTCTGCCTTCACGGCATGTTCGTCCAGGACGTTCGCAGCCCTGCTCTCAAAGCACAGAAACTTCAACATCCCTTCAAGGGATCCCTTCTATGAAAGGCTGCCTGAACTGAGGCAAAGAATGAACTCCAAGCCTTCATTGAAGCCCAGAAGCAGGTCCAGAAGAGACGGAACGTACCTCGGCGCGGCGATCCCAAGGCAAAGCTCGCAATCATCACCCGCTTCTCAATCCCTATGGCCTGAGCTTTAAACAACGCCAAAACAAAAAATGTAACCCCAAGCACGCTATCCTCCAAGCCGTAAGACACCTAAAATATCCTAAAATTGTAAGCCAGCCGGATTCATTTGCCAGTCGGATTCATTTAAAGAACACCAATAAAGACCCAGGGTGTCTGAATCAGGTTCCTACATTATTATCAAACTAATGCCAAGAACTGTTGTATCCTGCGAGTATTATTCCGGCCCTAGTTTGTGCATGTTATGCCGAATTCCAAGGAAGCCCGGCTACAGCGCCGCAAGCCCGCGCACCGGGCCCGGCACGACCAAGGCTGCTGCCTGCTGAAGCCGTGGTCCTGGCAGGACCTGCCCACGTTCAGAGCTTGCAGTTTGGGTTTAGGGCCTAGGGTTCAGGATTTGGGTTCCTGTACAACTGAAGTTATCTTGAGGAAGTTGAACATACATATTCCGGATGATTGTCCGTTTAAGTGCAGGTATTTGGGCAAACTACCTGCGCATCTCAATGAACTTACATGCGTCATCTTGGTGCAACTTGGCGTCCTTGCTGCTGGCTGCTTATGAGGTAGCATGGCAATCGTTTGAAGAAGACAAGACCTACTGTTGATGAATAGGAATCGTCCATTACCTTAATAAGGACCCTAAACTATGAGAATTATGGTATATTCCTTATTATGGGGTAATGCAGAATTTCTATCAACAACCGCAGGGCATCGGCTTCGGGTGTCACGGGGCATAGATCTCTGTGACAAGTCGGGGATCGAACCTAGTCTCTGTCCATGGACACCAGAAGTTTGAGGATTTGTGCTTTAAGTGCAGGCTTCAGGGCTCAAACTTTGTGGAACTCTGGCACTGGGTTCTACCAGCTGGATCCACGGCGTAGCAATTTTTGGAGTCCGGATGAAGCGCTATATACGCTCAGCCATTCTATTCCATGTGTGAAAGCAGTGGCTTGGAACATCTTTAGGGTATTCGTCCGCCTGT